CTTGGTTAGCAAGAGTTGTGACACTAGAGGATAAAACTCATAAATACATTAGCTTTCTAGTTTTAGCTACTACGTTTTCTAATTCTTTCTTTGATTTTAGTTTTTCCCAACTGTTCTTGTGTTTTTACATCTGTAATAACAGATAAGATGAAACTTAATGAATAATATATATGTGTACACCTATAAGAGTACTTACGCGTTTGTGTGTGGGACACACAGAGAGAATATCAGAACAAACTACCTAATAGTTTTGTAGCAACTGATCGCATATCATATTTTGTACTTAACTCAAAAAATGTCAAATTTTGTACTTAAATGAATTGTATTCTATACTCTCCAATTAATGATGCTTGTCAAGTTGTCAATGAATTATTTACAGCCCACAAGTAACCATGGTTTTTTTTACAATATAACAATTTGCAAGTTCTTTACAAGAAACACAAACAATTGATACACTATATCCTAAAAGCTAAAAATACTGTTACTTACCTTGTTAGCAATGATTGAACTATTTACTTGAATAAAATCCAAAGCCTTTGAAAATGAAAAATTGAAAGACATAGATATCCTTAATCTAGCCTTTCAACTTAGGTGTAGTCATATTCTTGGCCTATTGCTTGATAATACAGTAAGAAATGGTGTGTCGGATGCAAGCTGCAATGAAAGAGCATTGCTGACAGCATCATGAAAATGTGGAGTGAAGAGATTTTGATTGGCCAAGGCTTCTCATTTGATTAGTGTGACTAGGTCTAGCTCCAGTTTGATTTATCACATTTGAATTTAAAACTATATGCAATTGTGCTAGGTAAGAGCTAGGCTACACCTAGTCACATATTTGGAGGCAAGCCAATCAAATCTCTGCACTCTACTTTGCATGATAAACCTTTTCCACATCACACACAAACTCTCTTCCTCTCTCTTGAAAAATATGCAGACTCAGTTGAATGACTTTTATTAAGCATTTTCATAGAAAAATTAAGATGGGTTTTCTTTTTTTTTTATTTTTAT